TGGGGTGCACCGGCTCTGGGGGGCGGTGAGGATTGGGGTGGGGGGATGGGGTCCACTGGCTGTGGGGGGCAGTGAGGTTTGGGGTGGGGGGATGGGGTGCACAGGCTCTGGGGGGCTAGAGAGCATTGGGGTGCACCGGCTCTGGGGGGCGGTGAGGATTGGGGTGGGGGGATGGGGTGCACTGGCTCTGGGGGGCAGTGAGGTTTGGGGTGGGGGGATGGGGTGCACTGGCTCTGGGGGGCAGTGAGGATGGGGGAATCCGGGGGGATTGGGAAATGGGGGAGGGATATAGAGGGCACATTGGAGAGTAGCAGTATGGGGGGGGTGGTATACCGCTTCCGTGGCAACAGGCACAAATCCGCAGGCATCTCCTGCATCCTCTCCCTTCCCCCTTTTCCAACTGTTCCCATCCCTCCCTGCCTGCTCCTTGCAGCAGGTGTAAACGGTGAGATCTGGGGGAGTTGACCCACGTCCAGAGCTCACCCAGCCTCTGCAGACTCCTGGGGGTCCCTTGGCTATGGCCAGCTATGGTACCCCTGGGTCATTGACCGGCTCTGGGGATGTGCTGGCATTAGCCTCTTCTTGTTTTGTTCTGTGCTTCTTATACCAGGAGACCCTAGCGAACTTGGAGAGGCAGATCTATGCTTTTGAGGGCAGCTACTTAGAGGACACCCAGATGTACGGCAACATCATCCGTGGCTGGGACCGCTACCTGACAAACCAGAAGTGAGTGGAGAGAGGTGACTTTTCTGGGTGCCTTGGTTCAGGGGTTAGTAGTTCCACTCTGGCATGTAACATTTGGGCTTTTCTTTTTGTAATATGAGTCCATCCCAGTCCCGAGGTTCTGGCTTCTAAACAGCTTTGATAAGCAGAACTTTAAAAAATAAAACCAGATTGGGATCGTCCCTGAGGTTAGCTAATACACAGGACATTGTTTCTCTTAAGATACCTTGTTTGTGGACCAGCTGAAACTACATCAGCCAGTGAAACTTCTCTGTGCACTTGTATCTTGTCTCCCTCTTCCCAGCACTAAAGGGGGCCGTATGGGTACCGGGAACTTGTGGAACTCCCCAAGTCTCCATATGTTTTATGGGGACACAGCATGTAGCCGGCATGATTTCTCTTCAGATAACAGTAAAGACATGGGTGCAGGGCATTCCCAGGGATTAGTGGCTGGTTCATTAGGGACTTTTGTGCAGTGTCTTGGGCTGCAGTGTCTTCCTGCCTTGTCCTAACCTGCAGGCTATGCCTTGCATAGGTAGATAAGGGAACAGAACGCCATCTGACATGGTGACTTGAGTATTTGCAATGAGACCGTGCTGTGTATTTCAGAAACTCAAACAGCAAAAACGACCGAAGGAACCGGAAATTTAAAGAAGCTGAACGACTCTTCAGCAAATCTTCGGTCACCTCAGCAGCAGTGAGTACAGTGCTTGTGACCTGGCAGCGTGCAATGCCAACTGAAGTCCTGAGCTTCCTGGGCTGAACTGCCTGGCCTTTGCTCACGAACATCGGGGTGGACAAATCTGAGCTGAACAGATCATATATTGTGCGCTGTCCCCTCTGTCATTTCTCACTCTTCTCCTTTCTTCCAGGTTGTGCTGAATTATTCTTCATGGAGTTTCCGTCAGTTGTTCACTTTGTACCTAACAAGGGGATAATAGCCTGTTTATTCTGCTGTCTTTGGCCTCATTGAGAGGAAACCCTGGGGTGGCTGATCTCTCCCTGTTCTTAGGACTAGTCACCTGGGCATAGTTTGTGCCCTTTCAGTGGCTGTGTTGATCTGTCCACTCACAAGCATCTCCAAGCTTTCTTCCACATTCCCATCCTCCCGTAAAATTCACATCTGCCGCAATGCCCAAATGCCTCTGAGAGGAGGGAGTGGGTGACAGACCAATCAAGAAACTTCTGTGCCTCACAATCCTATTCCTGCCCTCATTGTCATTCTCCCTCCTCTTCCTTTTTGGCTTTAATGCCCTCTCCTGTCATGACATGTTGAGTTTAGACTGCAAGTTCTTTGGAGCAGAGACCAAAGAACCACCTCTTGTTCTGTGAGGGGCCTTGCATGTTTTTGAGAGCTTGAAAAAAATAAAAAATGGGAATCTGTCTTTATTAATGCGCCTTCTGATTTTCTAGGCAGTCAGTGCATTGGCCGGTGTTCAGGACCAGCTCATTGAAAAGCGTAAGCTACTTCTTCTTTCCTCTCACCATCTGACTAACTTGGAATGAAGCAAACTGCATCCTGAGGAATTAGGTCACGTGTCAGTTCTCTTCACCCCACAGGCACCCGCTTCTAATTTTCCCTGGGGGTGCTCAACCTCCGCGCAGCCCCAGGCCCCATCCAAACTCCACCCCTTCCCTCAAAACCCCACCCCTGCCCCTTCCCCGCCTCTTTCCGCCCCCTCCCCTGAGCACGCCCCATCCCTGCTTTTCCCTCTGCCTCCCAGCACCTCCTGCCTCCAGGAGGCGCTGGGAGGGAGAGGGAGGAGTTGATCAGTGCGGACCGCCTGCAGGGAGTGGGGGGGAGTTTGGCTGCTGGTGGTTGCTAAGCACCTGCTAATTTTTTTCCGTGGGTGCTCCAGCCCTGAAGCACCCATGGAGTCAGCGCCTATGCTTCTCCCCTTACCACGTGCGTGACCGAGGGTAATTATGGTCCTGTTAGAGAGTTCCCCTTCCAGCACTGTTTTACTGGTCCTTGTGATTCCCTGTCGGTTAGGTGTGCTGCTTTTCACACCCCAGCAATTGTGTTGCTCTAAATAAGGTCACATTGTACTCTTACAAGTGTATACATTAAAATTAAAATGTAGACCTCTCTTTTAGCAATGGCATTATCTTTTGTGTCTGCTTGAGCTGCTGTCTGCAAGTGAAGTGGGTTTGGTATTTTTGGGAGATGAGGCTCTGGGGGTTGGAGCTCTGGTACTTTTTCTTTCCTGCCATTAAATGGTAAGTAATTGTCAGTGGATCTGAGTGCTTGCTGCACAGAACCCCTGGCATCTGTCACAAGGTTCACACAAGTTTACATCTTCCCTCCTGAGTTAGCACAGCCTCTAACTGTTTGGCTTTGATGCAGAGGTTGAGTTTTACATGCACTAACTTTTAATCCACAATAAAATGGATTGTTGTCACAACCAGGTGCAGTGCCGGCTTTCTGCCTTTGGGACTGAGAATTTTTGCTCTTTTGGCTTCCTTTCTTGGGTGCTTAAGGGCATTGTGTGGCATATACTGTAGAAATTAGTATGCAGTAAATACATTTTTACCAGGGTTATTCCTGAATCAGGTGTTGATTTAATTGGATTTGAGTCTAGCATGCATCAGTTTCTAAGGGAGTAACTTGCCACACTGAGGAAATGCTGCTTAGTCACGCTTAGTGACCTTTTTCTGTGCTATAGACTGGAGACTTTAAGCTGCCCTCCATGTGGCTTCCATATGCGGTTTGCTGCTCTACTCAGGATTTGGCTTCAGCGCTTTCTTACTGTTAGTGCGAAGGGATTCACCAGGGTCTGTCCTGGAGCTGAACTGCTGGGAAGTAACAGTTGTGCTCTTCTGGGTTTGTTGTGTTCTAGGCGAGCCAGGTAGTGGGACAGAGAGTGATACTTCTCCAGACTTTCACAATCAGGAGAATGAGCCCAACCAGGAGGATACTGAAGAGCTGGATGGGTCTGTGCAGGGAGTGAAACCCCAGAAAGCCGCTTCTTCCACCTCCTCGGGGAGTCATCACAGCAGCCACAAAAAACGGAAGAACAAAAATCGACACAGGTTAGTGGGGCCAGCTGCACTCACCACGTCCTCTGAACAGCTGGTTGTTGCCAAAATGGCTTTATTGCCTGAAAGTAGCCAAATGTATTAGAGCAATGAGCAGTTCAGACCGCTGGTTAGTTGGGGTCATTAAGCTCTGATTTCTCTCTTCATGTTAACCTTCAAGTCACTGAATCAAATTTATTACATTCATTGGGTGACATCAGACAACCTATCTGGCCCCCTTTTCTGTGCCATTTCAATTTCTCAATCTGTAAAGCAGAATAATACTGGCCTCCCTCCCAGGGGGAGAGGTTACAATCCAATCCCCTTGGTGCCTGCATCTTGTTCTCTGGAACTGAGTGAGGTAGGGATGTTGGCAGATCTGTTTGGGGAAGAGGATCAGGAAATAAACAAAAATGCTTTGGGAATCCAGTGATTATAAAAGTCCTGGAAATCCTGGATATTTTCATCCAAACTTTGATTCCAAGCCATTTTTGTTGTAATTTGGCTCCAGACTGAGCCTTTGTTCCATGCGGTGTTCTGAAGCTGCCTTGCTTTTCACGTTCATTTGAACGCAGTTGGAAGGAAGCTGGCCTCACAGCCATGTAAGAAGTAGTAAAGATCTCTCAGCCTTCACTTGGTTGCCCTTGGGTGGCCAATTCTGAAATAGGTGGCTTTAGAGAGAGCCTATTAGAGATCGTACGTGTGAGGTCACACCACATGGATAATGCCATTTTTCTCTACAAAATGGTGTCCTCCGCACAATGTGATCTCGTACGTATGGTGCATGCAAAGTCACTCTGTGCGGAGAATGCCATTTTGTAGAGCAAAATGGTGTCCTCCAGGCTTCGTGACCTCGCATGCACCATACATGTGAGGACACACTGCAGAGCAAAATGGCATCTTTCGCACACTAGGGATCACTGCTGCCCCATCTGCTGGTGGCGCAACCCCATTTGGGGTCACAACCCACAGTTTGGGAACTGCTGGGTTATGGGCAGGTATTTTGCCTGAGTACTACACTGAATACTTTTAACTCACTTTTTGAAGTTGACTGGATTTTGTGGTGTCAGTGTCTCTTTAATTCTTAGATCCAGGATTTCCTTCCTGCTATAATCTTAAAATTTAAAAATGTTTGCTCAGTTATATCTCCTTTTAGTTCCTCATGAGCTAGGAATCATGAAGTAGTTTAGAAATACTTTTTTGGATTTTCCTGTAGGTAGCTAGAAACAATTTCAGAAGTAACAATAATTTAAGAACATAAGAATGGCCATACTGGATCAGACCCAACGATCCCATCTAGCCCAGTGTATTGTCTTCTGACAGTGACCTGGTGCCGGATGCTTCAGAAGGAATGGACAGAACAGGGCAGTTATCGAGTAATCCATCCCTGTTGTCCAGTCCCTGCTTCTGGCAGTCAGAGATTTAGGGACACCCAGAGCGTAGGGTTGCATTCCTGATCATCTTGGCTAATAGCAATGGATGGACCCATCCTCCATGAACTTATCTATAATTTTTGCTTCACAGAATCCTCTGGCAATGAGTTCCACGTGTTTGTTTTAAACCTGCTGCCTATTAATTTCATTGGGTGACCACTGGTTCTTGTGTTATATGAAGGGGTAAATAACATTATAAGTTTCTCGCAATATAAGAGGAAAGGGACATCCTGTAAAACTAATAGACAGCACATTTAAAACTGACCGAAGGAACTAGTTTTGAAACAAAGCATACTTAACCTGTGGAACTGACATCTATGAGATATCTTTGAGACCAAGGCTTAGTAGGATTCAAATTGCCCACGTAAATGCTATGAGAAAGTTCACAGTTACATTGATACACTGATAAAAACTTTATAAACCTTCATGCTTCAGAGCATAAGCCAACCACTAGCAACAGGCGTTAGGAAGAAACTCCCCCTCTGGGCCCATTATTCTGTTACGGGGTTTCTTGTACCTTCCTCTGAAGCAGTTGATTCTGACTACTGTTGGAAGCAGGACATTGAACAAGACAGAAGCCTGATCTGATCTGGTATGGCAGTTCCGATGATCCTAGAACGTAAAGCAGAGAGAGAAATCTAAATAATACAAAGTCACTTACAATTAATTGACTGTTGTTCTAAAATGCCTTAGTGTGGCCAGTTATTGAATCTGACAAGTCTAACTGTATTTGATACAGCTCTGTGACGTTAAAACTGACTGTTCTTACTAACTACTTCCTCAAATCCTTCCAGCAAAGGAAAATTTCCAGGCACCATCCAGGAACATGAAGCTAGTCGCCAGAAATTAATGATGTAACTCTAGGTGCTTTGAAATGAAATATAGTGGGAAATGCTCTTCGGAAACAGACACCTGCTTGTTTGCCCATTTCTCCTGACTGTCCTGAGATGAAAGTATTGTATAAGAAACCTTGAAAGTCTGTCACTGGGGCTGCCCTCTGACTGCAAATCCTGATTCAAGGCTCTCCCAGTTGTGTGCATAAGCTGAGTGCTGACTGAAGCATTGGGGGCCACGGGAATGGGCTGTCTTCAGGCACGGTTGACACTGCTTGCAAAGTAGTCCAAGCTTTCCTACGTTCTACCTCACCAGCTCTGCTAGCAGTGCTGTTCCGGCGTGGCTGAATATCCAGCTCTCGTGTCTAGCATCTGTACACTGTGAACCAGGTGAAAGATGTTGGCCATTGCTTGTGAGGGCCCTTAGTTCCACTCTGCTGTGCAAGTGCCAGGGATACCATTACCTACCAAAATGCCCCATATTCAGCTACTTGCATCAGCCGAGGAATATCTCACATTCACCAGGAATGCTGCTTCCTCTTAGTTCAGTTGTAACGAGCCTACTAAGTTAGGACTTAACATGACATTTCAATGTTATTAACTTCCCTCTTTCTAACCAATACAATTGTTGGCTTCCAGGAGGAGGTCTCTGGAAACAGAGCGCCATGGTGGGTGTGCGTGCGTGCGTGTGTGTATGGATGCTAGAGTCCGCTGATGGGAGTGTAACTGTTTGGTAACTAGATTCAAGCAATTCACAATGTTTTCTTTTTAGGTTTATAAGTGAAAAGTAAGCGTGAGTGTGTGTGTGTGCCTGTGTGCGCTCGTGTGCATACAACCATATTTGAATGCAAAATTGCTAGATATTTCTATGACAGCCTCTATCTAGCTGCCTGAACCAACTTCTTTCCTTCTGCCCTAATAATCTATTCTAGAGAGAGCCTCTGCTTTCTGAGTGCCCACTTGGTTGTCTTTGCGTGCATAGAAAGTTCTGACTCTGTCTGGGAGCTAACGTGCAACTCCAAATAGCTGATGGCTTCCTTCTCTGCATATAAAAATACCTTCCATAAACCACTCTTCCTCTGTTTAACATCTCATTTCCCAGCAATCCACTTGGGGAGGGGGGCTCTGCACTGCCGAGTCTGGAGTGCTTTTTCGTGCCAAATTTTGGTAAATAAATAAGTAACATATACTATATAAAATAAGAACTTTATGGCATTTGGACATTGGCTTTATTTTTTTCAATAATCTCGCTAGGGTGGCTAATCAACCTATTTATTGAATTCATTAGTATATTAATGGCTATTGCTTTCTTCCTTTCAAATGCTGCCCCTCAGCCCGCCTGGCATGTTTGATTATGACTTTGAGTAAGTTTGACTTGAATTAGTACTTGTGCTGTCTTGTTAGTGTGTAGACACCGATGTGCCTTTCTGAGACCTTTCTAACTCATAGTTTATCTGTTTAATTGTAGGTATGTATATTAGGTTAGGCTGGGAAGTTTTTTTAAAAAACAGAAAAACATGACAGAGGTAATATTTTATTTAATAACTTCAGCAAAATTAAATCAACTTTACTCTTCTGCCTCTTTATTTCGTTTTTAAGTAGATAAACTTTATCTTAATAAATAGTTAAAAACTGATTTCTGGCTTTGCTTCCTAAAGAGATTAGTGGCGTAAATTTGGATATTTCCCTCTGGAGAAATGTAATAAAGCCAATCCCCTTGATTTTATAATACCTGTTGTCTCAAAATCCTCTCTCTCTCTGTATATTTCAAGTAAGTAACTATTACTACTATGTCTGAATAATTGTCTGTGGCATAGTTACACCTATCTCTAACAAATTAACATAGAGCATGCATTTTAATCCCATTTTTGCACGCTGCATAACTTCCCTGTGATTTTATTATGAACCTTTGATAACTGTTTCTCTGGTTGAGTGGGTGGAATATGCATTTCGGCAAGGTGTAAAGAGTCCGCTCTCATTGATGTTGTTGGTCCTTGCCCAGTAATATTGGGACAATAATTCGGCTTGGCCGATTCGGAGAACGTGGATTGAATTAACCAAATAGCCTTTGTTGTAGCCTGTGCCGTATGCTGTAGCTGGTTCTTGAACCCCTATTGAAGTGTAATGTATTGAAATGGACATTTCTCTTATCTTTCCCATCACAGGATTGATCTCAAGTTAAACAAAAAGCCCCGAGCTGTAAGTATCAGTCCTCCTGTGTCATTGTTTTTATTGTTAGTCTGTACTCTGAGGTTGCAGGCTAATCCCCAGCACTCTAGAGTCTGCGTCTGCCATGGTTTATGCTCTCATATTTTCATGGTGGGGGAATAGTTGGTGTGAAATGAGCGATTTTCTTCTGGATTTATCGTAGCTAGATTTCTCTGTTGCTTGTTACCAGATGTTGGTGACAATTGAGAGCCCCATAGATTTTACTCAAGAAAAATTGTTTCACACCCTTTCTAGCTGTGATTATTAATCTAGTAAATTGAAAACTATTGGTGATTGGTCGACATATCTCTGAGTTGAAGATTTTGAAGTGCAGATGAGGGTGTCAGCTACAGTAAATTTCTCTTCTCTCTGTTTGCCTGCAAAGAACGATGTGTGTGCGTCACGTGGCTGCGTGTGAAAGCTGAGTTTCCCAACTCTGAGAGCAGAGTTGTACTTTGGAGGATATTAATGTCCTGCCCTTTCCCCTATCTGCAGGACTACTAGACTCATCGGTGCCGAAGCTTCCCGGATCTAGGCCCCCACATTGAGTCCACACTAAGAAAAACATCAATCGACTGAATGAGCACAATGGGCAGCTCTCCCACCGAGTGTCTGCACACGGGAGTAGTTCTTACTAAAGTGTGGGGGGGAAATAGTCTTGTTTGGCTACATTGGACCATGTACTCTGTGTCATTTTAAAATCACCTGAAATGCAGGAGGACTAAGCTGTGGTGTCACCAATCTCTGGTTCCCGAGTGCGACATTCTTCCCCCACAGCTGGCAACACTCACCCTGCAATCAGCTGGTTTTGCTGCTGCCATCACCATTGTCTGTAATAACCATTGAGAGATGTCGTTGTTTCATTTTATACTGGAATGGGGGCGTGGCTCCGTGTGTCCCATGCAGGTTGTAAATCTGTTAGGTTATTTTTTTAATACTGATATTTAGTTTGTTTGTTTTTTTAAACCAAACTGTACAGTTGACAAATTGGCTTTTGATTTTTCTTCCTTAAATCTGATTAGGCTGTTCATTTTGCAGAACGATCCACTTGAATTCTTACCTTAGTAGAGAAGAAAGTGGCTCACCCCTTTCCTTTATCTTTGATTTTAACATTTCCCCTCCGGTTTGTTCGGGGCACTGAGCTACAGGGAGCGGTTAGAACTCAAAGCCGTCTTGCTCTTAAGGTTGGGTGGATTCTCTTTTTAATACAAACGTCTGTCATTTGTATATAAAACAATAAAAGTCACGTTTGTCTCTCTTCTCGTGTCTTGCTTTGCAGTTGGAGATGTTTCTGTGTTTTGTTTGTTCTAAGCCACTCAAGAATTTCTATCATTCTTCTCCTTTTATTCTGTGAGGTTTTCCTGAATTCCTCTACTTTCAGATACTGTGTGTGTTTATGCAGCTCCATGAGCCTCTTAAGAATGGTCTCCTTTACTCCTCCTTGTATACACACAACAGTGGTGACTGTCAAGGGAGCCAGGAACTAGCCTCCGTATGTGCTAATTATTCACGACTCACAACTAGAGAGATCTTGGGCAGAAGTGACCACTTGCTGATGTTGCCGGAATACCTCTTGGTAATGGGTGAGCAGCCCTGACTGTTCTCAGAACCAGTGCACCCACGCACAGGGATGAGTGTCCTAACCAGGGCAGGAACGTGGTACTGCCCTTTCCTGTGGGCAGAGCTTTGAGTGCTGCTCGCCGGTGTTACCTGGGGCCGAGTGGGGTTTTAGCACCTTTGTTCTCATGTTACAGTCTCTGGAAGGGAGTTGTGTCCACTTGCTTAAACCTCTCCAAAGCCCTGGCCTTGAGTTTTTGGCTACTCAGCCTGGGTGGCATGGAAGACCCACAACAGCGAATTCCCCTTATCCTGGCCCAAAGCAGGGATTGCAGAAAGGCGGGAACTTGGTAGAGAATCTTTGGTGAACTTTTTCTGACCTCTGAAAAACTGCTGCCTCTCCCAGCCAGCGTCTGTGGGAAGGATGCGGTGGACATACAAAGAAGGAGAGAGACACTGCAGGGCATCGTGTGCTGGAATGGAAGCTGCGCTGGTAGTGACAGCAGTGTGTACTCATCTGTCCACTCTGTGCTCTGGCTGGGGGATATGTACTGTCTTATATCACTTATAGTTCCGTAGACACTTATGCAGAAGGAGATTTGTACTGAAATGATCATAAAGGGGGGCAAGGTTAATGCAGAGCCATCAGCAAAAAGGTAGAGGTTGGTATTTTGGGGCTGGGGCCTGGGCTTTGAATCTGCGGGGAGGTGATGACTTTCAGCAAATAGTCAACTCTCCCCTTTCCCTGTGCTCCCCGCCACCCCAGCTCCTGAATCTCTTTGTTCCAATGCAAACTGGTGCCCCACTCAGCTCAGCAACAGGGACAGAGAAATCAGACTGGGCCAGGAGCCCTGTGATAGCAGGAGCAGGGCAGGGCATGGGAGGATAGCTTTGTACCTGTGCAGACACAACTGCAACCCCATGCAATGTGGTTTTCATTCTCTTTAACAATAGTGTGCCCAACAGAGATGTGACCACCCATCAGTTCTGGGCCCAACCCCGCCTGGTTGCAGAGACGTTTTGGTTCTAGAGCTGAAGCCCTGGTGCCCTTTCTGAGATGTAATGTATAGACTGAAATTACCTCCTGGAGCTGCTCGCTCCTCCCCGGGTTTCTGTGCAGTTGCTGGCGTTTTGACTCACTTTTTATCCCCGTGTGCGTGGGGTGCTGGGGAGCAGGTTCGACAATCTGAGCTGTAGCCGTATCTGTCCCTATAAAGAAAAAAAGGCAAAGCTGCCTCCTGGACGAGCGACGGTTTTTTCCCCAGCCTCTGACATTTCAGGAGTCACCTCAGTGACGAGTGTGCAAATGAAATGGCAAATACTTTGCTCACAGTCAAAGCAAATCTGGTTATATTAATATCCAGCAGCTCCCTTTCAGGCCATATTGAATTATAGCAGCACTGTAGCCATTTAGACACCGGAGAAATGAAACGACCAGCCCCGCTCTCATTCCCGAGGGCTTGCTCTGGCAGAGGGACTCGTTCCCACATCTGATTGTCAGAGTAAGAGCCAACACTGTGATCTTCACTTCAATAGCAGCCTCCCAGCTGTGTATTCAGCATGGAAAGCAGACGAGATGCTATTTAATGTCAATTAACCAAACACCAGTTAATTTCTAGGGTTAGGAAAGGAGCGTTCAGAAACTGACCATGTCCTCCTGAACCTGGAACTTCTGCTCTTCCCTGTGTGTGCTTTTTTTTCTAATGAACAGAAATTATTAAATGTAAACATTTCAAAGCTGTGGAAGAATAGAACCCAGGTGTGCTGTCCCTAGCCCTGTGCGTTGATGGCATATGCCCACAGGGCTGTGTACGGAGGCAGAGTGTTGTATACATGCTAACGAAGAAGGCATTGAAGAGAAGGACATATCCTTTCCTGGCAGCAGCCCCACTCCTCCCCATTGCACAGGGCACGGGCTGGTAGAGGAGAAACTCCTCAGAGACACAACAGGGGGAGCAGGGAAAATCCACTAATTCCCTTCACTGCCTTGGTCACCGAGAGGATTAGCCAGGAGTTTATCAGTCCCGAGCAGGTGGCCTAGCAGCAGCCAGGAGCTTGTAAACAGCGGCGAGAAAGCAGCAGATCCAGTCGCCGCCTTCCCCAGCCCATTCAGCACCTCGCAAAGAGCAAGACTCTTCCGTCAAGTGTTTCGCTCCAGGCCCGGCACGTCCCAACTCCTGCAGCTCTGGCGCCCTGAAGGCAGGTAGGGGATGGGGTGGTGCTGGCACCTGCCCTCTTCTGTACACACCATTCTAGACAGGAGCCTCATTGTCTGGATTAAAGGGCATCGCAGCCCCTGCAGGGAATAGTTCCTGTTTGGCTGTAATTAAAGGATCAGAGAAATGTGGGGCTGGAAGTGACCTCGAGAGGTCATCAGGTCTTGTTCCCTGCGCTCACTGAGGCAGGACCACGTAAACCCAGACCATCCCTGACAGGTGTTTGTCCAACCTGGTCTTTAAAACCTCCAATGACGGGGATTCCCCCACCTCCCTTGGAAGCCTGTTCCAGAGCTGAACTGTCCTTAGCTATTAGGAAAAGTTTCTACTGATAGCTCCCTTGCTGCAGATTAAGCCCATTACTTCTTGTCCTACCTTCAGTGGCCATGGAGAACAATTGATCACCGGCCTCTTTGTAACAGCCCTTAAGATAGTGGAAGACTGTTCTCAGGTTGCCCCTCAGTTTTCTTTTCTCAAGACTAAATGTGCCCATTTTTTTTTAACCTTTCCTCACAGGTCAGGTTTTCTAAACCTTTGATCATTTTGGTTGCTCCCCTCTGGACTCGTTGTCCGTGTGTTTCCCAGGCCAGACCCGGGACTCCAGCTGAGGCCCCAGGAGTGCCAAGCAGGGTGGGACAAACCCTCCCGTGTCTTACATGCAGCGCTGCAGTTCACACCCCCCAGAACGCCATTCGCCTTTCTGGAAGCTGCCGGCAGCACATAGTTGAGGGACCAATCAAGCGAATGAGAATGATCAGGACGCGGCTGGTGGCCGTGAGTGGCCACGTGGGGTATGTGATGGCAGGGCAGGGGCCTGGCCTTGACTCTTCTTCCTGGCTTCTCCTGTTTAGGGACTCGATGAGGAACCCTAGCTCCCCATCACGGCCCCAGCGGTGGCTGCTTTGCTCGCGAGCCGGGTGCAGGTGGCTCCTGTCTCCCTTAAGGACGTCCCTGTCTGGGCTGCTGATGCTCTGGAGGCTGATGTGGGTTAGTGTCATCCGAGGGGTGGGGGGGAGGAACTGGGCCACACCCGGACACGAGTGGGGGCTTCCCGCCCTTCCTAGAAATGAGAGTTTCACAGACACAAATTGAGTGTTGACTTCTGGGTGTGAGCGCTTCTCCCTGGGCGGGTAAGGCTGGGAGCACCCCAGGCCAGGCAGGCTGCTGGAATGGGTATTCTTTATGCACAGTATCACACTAACACTAATTTTACCATAAATTCCTTCATTAAATCCAAAGCCGAATGGTATTTATACAATTACTCTAAACGTGCCTAAAGACCAAGCAATTGACTACATCTTCACAGCACACGGACTAACCCCAGGGGTGCTGAGACCCACCGTGGTCAGGCAGGTATCAGCAATGAACCCCGTCAAAGGTGACTTTTTTCATCCCCTTTAACAATGATGTGATGTCATTACCAATGATCTGACCTTAGCCACTGCCAGATGAAGGAGTTTCTTAAATAGCCAATTATTTACTGCATCTGGTATCCTATTAACCGTGTCCAATTTCTGTTACTTTGCCCAAACCTTAACGAAGGTAACGGGTATTTCGAAGGGTCCCCACAAGTTTGACATGAGTCGTCTTTCTCATGCTCTCATTCTTTTTGGTTCCATGCCTATTGCTCATGCTAACGTCCCAACTCAATGTAAAACCGTACGTCACCCAGATCTAATGTGGGCCTGTCTTCCTCCCCGGGGCAGGGAATGCGCTTTCTGCAACAACCCCCTCACCCCTGCCATCCCTGGAAGTGGGGCAGGGGCCGGGTTAACAGACTCTGGCTGGGGAGGGTCCTGGCACTGCTCAGAAGCTGGGGGTTCCTGGGGCCGGGAGTGGGTGCTCTCAGCTCGGAGGCCTGGAACACTATGTGTCTCCCACCCCATCTAAGTGCAGCTCATGCTGGATTTGTGCTGGGAAAGGTGGCAGGGCAGCGCTGTGGGTGCCATGGAAGGGCTTGGCTAGGTGTCATTCTCCTCGTGGTGGTGCAGCTGGGAAATCCTGCCTCTAGGCTTTCTGCGTTTCACAATAGAGTTTATTCCCCGCCCCGATAACAGCCCAGCTTCATTGGTCCCCACAGGCTCTGAAAGCCGTGTGCCCAGGCTGGCGTAACTCCGGCGGACCCAGCACAGGCCAGACACCACAGCCAGAGGTGCTCCGGGAAAGGCTCCGGCAGACAGAGAGGTGCAGGGCTGCCTGCCCTCTGTCCTGGCCAGGGCGCTCTGAGTCTCATGCTGACGCTGTTCTCACCCATCTCTCCTCTTCCTCCCCAGCATGCGCTGTTCTGCTACAAGGTTTTCTGGGAGCTCATGTTCCATTTCATGTGTGAGGTAAATGGCCCTTGCAAATGCTGGCTCTGTCCCTTGCCTACACTGTCAGACCCTCTGCTGTGGTACTCTCAGCTCTCAGGGTGGTCCTTGTTCCGAACCATGACCATGCACACGAGTCTCCAGGGCCCAGGGGCACTCAGCAAAGCCGAACGTCT